CCCCCCGGCCCCGGCCCCGCCTCTGCGGGTGCGCCGGCCGTGGCACTGCCGGGAACTGCTCCCGGCCACGACCCTTCGCGGAAAGCCGTGCCGAAACCCCCAGAGCTGTGCTCCTACGCCTCACGTTTCCCAGCGCTTCAGCCGTGGCGGAACAGGGAGTTCTCCAGGCAGCTTCTCTGTTCCTGGGAGCCTTGAGCTCTAGAAAACAAAACCAAAAGCAGCATCAGTACCCCTACCTCACCCTGCTTCCCTTGCCTTTTCCTTATCCTTTCTTTTTTAACTTGGTGAGATCACTTTATTCACTTTCTAAACGGATGGCTTGCATGAGTGATACTCATGGGAGGATGACTGGTGTCAAAGGACTGGAAAGGACACAGTCATCCAGGATATCCATAAATTCCAGGAGCTATGTCCTGCTTCTCCAGAGACAAAGAATCAATTTATTTAAATAGCTCTGTTCCCTGCCACTTAAAAAGCCTTCTGGGAAACAAACCTCCAATTTAATAACATGCTAACATGATCTGGACATACAATATTATGCATACATTTTGCTGCGATAATATTTCTTATGTTGTGAAATATAACCCTAACAAGATCTCAGCCGTAACTTTTCTGTGAGAAAGCAACCCTGAAATAAGCATATTACTCAGGACATTACCAAAGCACCAAAGAGTGGTTGTGAGAGTGGTTTACTAATGAGCGTATTTACAGGGTAAAATATAAATCAAATACAAAATTGTGATCCATGGTAGCATACACGTCTCAGAGATGTGTACTGAAGGAGGGGAAGGACTCCCAAACCCTTGTGCTCTCTATGCCCTAAGCATCAGGTACTGCCACCTGCAGTATGATTTTGTGGGCCATAAGCCAGCAGGCATTAGAGAAACCACAGGAATCCCTACCCAGAAGCCATTGGGTTTTCTATTGATAACAGCACATTGATGTGGAGGTGTTTAACAGCTATCAGTTTAATTGTGTTCAAATCTTCCAAAAACATACAACATGAGTCCCTCAGAAAGAAGGATGTAGATATTAGGATATGCAATAAAAACTTCTCTGCACACCCCTCACGTGTACCTCCAGACAGACAAAGACTGCTGATCCTGCTGCTTCCAGGCCCTTCCCAGGGGATATCACCCCAACAGAGACACATCTCCACAAGCACAGAGAAGCACAGAGATCTCAAGGCAGGTAGGAGTCCAAATAAAGGGCTTAGAAGTTGCTCATATTTTAATAAGCTTCAAATTGTTCAGCAATAAACATGACATTTGTAAATGGCAAATTTACTTACACAGCTATGTGGTGTACATGAGTTACAAAACAGCCATGAAACCAGACAAAATAATCATAAGCCAAGCTGTGAAGTTCCTTTACAGTAAGAACAAAAAATTACTACAAAAACATTCCCAGAATGAAGCGGAAGCTTCTAGTTTATGATAAATACCTTAGGTTAACTAAAAAGACCAGATAACATAGGGACTTCCCCTACAGCAAACAAAAAATGAAGTGTCAAAGCTACAGGTTTATTTCAGCTCTGTGTAGCTGCTAGGATTTTCCTTCACACAACTCCTATTTTCAAAAGTCAAATAGTAAAACAAAAAAACAGGTAAAAATCTACAAGGCTGCAATACTCTTTCTTCAGTAATGTAAAATATTAGCAATCTGGATCATTTTGCTGAACATTCATTCCAAAAATCTTAAAAAAAAAAAAAAAAAGTTACTGTCACAAGTTAAATAATTAGTTATTATAGGGTTAAAATGTCTTACAGTCATCTGTGTTTATCGTCAGTACACTTCTAGCATACTTAAGTAAATATACTGTGATAAAACAAGGAAATTGGCTTGTAAAATACTACAAATTCAGGACATTGATCTTAAATTTATTTCTTCAGTTTCTTTCAAACTAACTATTTTGATTGATGGATTTTGGAATTCAATTTTGTAGATAATCTTTCAAGTTCAATGAAATCAGTCAGATAGACTGATAGAGATATAGCCTACTTTCCAGACACTACTTCTGCAGGCTGTTTCTAACATGATATGTTTCCTTCTCAATCTGGATTATATAATTGAAGAGAATAATGAATTGTTTAACAGCCAAGTCATTATGGTAAAATTAAACTGATGCATCCACGTGCACTACCTATAAAGAAAAGAGGAAGAACATTTGCTTTCTTTCAAATATTTCTTCTGGTTCTAATTCTGTGTTCCTCTTTCTTCCTTATCATGTAAAAATCACAAATAAATTACGTAATAAATATCTGCACTGGCACAAATTATAACTATTTCAATTTTTTGTTGACTCTTTTTTTTTTTGTTGGGTATCACAGTCAACATTTCCAAGGTTCAATTATTTTTGGACCAGCTGTTTGTGAAGAAAATACACCTTATAATTTAAATATTATTTTTAAAAATATGACAAGAACAAAGGAGACATGACTGCCTATCTAATGGATGCCAGATTTGTGTTACTATGAAATGTCTTTATTACTTTGCATGGGTCTTTTGTAATGGCAACAATACCTGTTGCTTTCTGGACTAGAGAAATACTGCCTACCTTCAGAAGTGCTGACAATCTAACAGCACCATGCAATATATGATGCTGTCTGATTTTTTCCTGTGGTTTCTGTACCATGATCTGGCAGACTGGGAATTGGAACAGGAGAGGCTATATCCCCCAGTGTGGTGCAATGAATATTTATAATATCAGTGAAATCACATAATTCAGTTCATGTCCAGAGCCGCTATGGTACCAACAGAGAGGCAAGTGCTGCAGCCCCTGCTGCAGGTGGGCTTCTGCCAGTGTTTGAAGTCTGATGTAGCTCAAAGCAGCCTCCCTTCCACAGGCAAGAGTCACAGTGGCTTCTTATGCCCTATGGAAACTAGTGTCCATT